TATATGATGAGCAACTACTTTACAAATGTAATGGATTTTACTTTGGCATTGATGACTATTTGGAATTGTTTTTTTGACTAAAAATTTGAATATGAAAGGGTTAAATGGAGTGTGGGTCCACTTAACTCCAAGTCTGCTATCTCAGACCACAGAAAAGAGACTGTTATTCAAGTGGAGTAGCCATATAAGTTGCATAACAAAATGCAAGTCAAATGCAGAAGAGCCCTTGGCCTTTTGTGTATATTAGAGAGCTTGCATAACTGTTTGCAAAAAAGAAATGTGGGGATTCATTTTTATGAAAGATCTGAAATCACTATTTTGTTAAATTTCTGCAAATATCCTTTTGTTGAGTTTAGTGTTTATACCATTTAATAAAATCATTCTTTATATTTAAGAACTTGAGTTGAGCTGGCAGGGGACAGAGAGTATTTGTGAAGTTGTGATAAATCTCTTTTCTATATTTTGCTTTTATTAGTATCTTAAAGGTGAACTTAAAAGCAACACTTTGATTTTTCTAAAATACTGTAAATTTAAACAAATATCATTAATTATCAGGTATGGCAATGTGGTGGGCAGTTGGAGATTATGCCTTGCTCTGTTGTTGGACATGTTTTTCGCAGCAAAAGCCCTCATACCTTTCCAAAAGGCACTCAGGTGATTGCTCGCAACCAGGTTCGCCTTGCAGAAGTCTGGATGGATGACTATAAGGAAATATTTTATAGGAGAAACACAGATGCGGCAAAAATTGTTAAACAAGTAAGTCAGAGCTAAGTAATTCAATTACAATAAAAATCCATGCCAAGTTCTCAAGTTCTTTTACTTACTTGAGTCAACTCAAGTATGAAGCTATTTTTGAAACTGAGTTTTTAACTCATAAAATATATAACTTTTTGATGCCAGCTTTTTTTTTTTTTTTTAAGAAAAATTGAGTAAACTGCTTTTTAAAAATTCAGGCCTTCTACTTGATGTTGCCCTTTTAAATATACAAGACATTTAGTTTTTGTAACTACCATGGTTCAGTATTTTTCTCAAAGAAAATAAGATTAACTAGAATCATTTTTAACTGGTCTTATGTGATGTGTTTAACATCTAAATCAAGGTGCTAAGTGGCTTTTTAAATGGG